TTTCCCATGGGAAGGATTCTTTAAAATTAATTCCAAAATCTTATTTCAAATTTATCTGGACTCTTAGTCCATTTGTAACTTTCTATGATAAATTTTAATCATCCTTTTGCTGTTTATTCCCAAAAACATTTTTTTAAAGTTTTTAAACTTGTAGTTAAAACTTCTTTCACTAAGGATTGAAGGAAACTTAAATCCAGTGCTGTAAAACTTGTCTTTCCAAAAGTTCCTATCAGCTGGAAAGCAATTAACAAGCAATTTGCAAAAGTGATTAGAAAAGGAAGTATGCAAACTTAGTGTCCTTTCAAAGGGGCTGACCTCAGTTTGAGCAAGATGGCTATTCCCTCATCTCCCAGAGCATTAAAGCCACCAAAGACCACTGTCTTGCAGTCTCCTCACGAGAAGCAATGGTCTGGAGCACTTGTGGTGATCTCAAGTCTTCTCATTGTCTGGAGAGGAAATATCAAAGAGCCAGTCTTCAAAGAGTACACCACCTCTTCATTCTACCACAGTCGTCAACTCCACTTTTTGCGAAGCCATCTTCGGTCCACCATTTCTTCCCCGGAAGTCCCATACTGCTGGAAGATTCAAAGGGGCCCTTCACTTCAATGAAGCTTTGAACCAAGCAAAACTGCAAAGCAGGGAGGGTGCAACTTCCACCCCTCAATCCAAGTGGCTTCCAGGCACCTCTATAAACCAGGTTAGAGACCAGGCTTCAGGTGAAGGCAGGTCAACTCCCCCTCAAGCCTTTGCAAAGCAAACAATACTGCACCAACCCCACCAAATGAAATCTGTTGGGGTGGAGCATGCCCCCCTTACACAACCCACTTTCTTAGCCCCATTTTGCAGCTTAGAAGCTGAAGGCAAGAGGCAGTGACCTGCCTAAAGTTATTTAGAGTTCATGCCATGGTAGATGACCAACTTTTGAAGACATCTTATTTTTGTTTGATCTATTTCTTTACTGCCGTCTCATATTTAAAAGGAACTGAAGCAATGTATAAGAAGCATAATGAAAATACAGGGGAAATAAATAAGTTGCAACATGAAGTACAGCATTAGCTATAAAACATATGTATTTAAAATGTTAGAAGAAAACAAAGTTCACAGTAAACGCAATGCTCACACATAGAGCATGCTACTCTCTGAACTGGGATGTGTCACCAACAGGTACAACCCCAAAGAGACAATGAAACCAGACTAAATTCAATACCAAACAGGTTCAAGAGCACAGAAACTTTTAGAGCAGGGTTCCTCAACCTTGGCAACTTTACGACGGGTGGACTTCAAATCCCAGAATTCCCCAGCCAGCCTTGCTGGCTGGGGAATTCTGGAAGTTGAAGTCCACCCGTCGTAAAGCTGCCAAGGTTGAGGAACCCTGTTTTAGAGGGAATATGAATCGTGTATGGCCTACATAGAGCCCAGAGGCTTTCCTGTACATAAAATATTTTAGAGACTGGCTATCAGGCTTCACCCTAAAGGCAACCACTTAGGGCAGCTATGTTAACTATTTATAAA